AAAAAAAAAAAAAAAAAAAAAAAACAAAAAAAAACAATGATATATTTTTTTTTTGTCTTTTTGAGACAGGGTCTTGTTATGCAGGTCAGGCTGACCTTGAGCTCACTTTGTAGCCCAGGCTAGTCTCAGATTGCAAAGATCTTCCTGCCTCAGCCTTCCAAGTGCTGGGATTACAGACATGCACCATCATGGCTGGCCAACACTGACTTTTAATCAGAAGAATAAACATCCCTCTGAGTGATGTTAAACATGTAAGCACATTATTTCTCTCCTGGATATCAGTACAAAATGTTTCCTTGATATATTTGTTAATGTTCTGTAAAATTCTATTCCTTTTACATCAGGAAAGTAAATCTATAAACATCATGACCTTTCTTACCTTAAAATCAATATCTGTACAGCACTTGCACAGAACACAGGGGCCAGTAATTTTTAATACATCTTCTCTCCTCGCATTTTGAACAGTATACTTCGGCAGACAGGGGTGCCATGTCTGAATAACGTAACCTACTGGAACACCGGGAGGAGCCTGGACTTCAATCTACAATAGCAAAAGAATGTATGTAAATGTCATGATAATCGAAGGTCTACAGTTCATGAAGGGGTGAAAATTCTTCCTGAGGTATTTTACAAACTGCCCTGATAACTGCATACTGACCTCCTGAAGGCAGCCAGGGAAACAACAGTCATCACATCTCAACGGCCTCTGCATGGTTATGACTTCGCGGTTTAAATGATCAAGAACCCTCAAGGTAAAAGGTCTCACTGATCCACAGCAGTTTAGGGTGCAGCAATCAGTATCTTCTACTGCAAAGTAAATTCTCTGCCCGAGGCTGTTCTTAATTTCAAATCTGTTATTTGTTTCGATGCCTGTTAAGACTAAAAACATCAAAGGGGAATTTATCATCACAACTTTGTTAAAAATAGTGACTATAATATGCTCTTTAGCTATACCAGGTTTGGTAATTTTTTTGTCTTTTTCAAACAGGGTCTCACTATGCAGTTCAGGCTGGCCTTGAGCTCACTTTGTAGCCCAGGCTGGTCTCATACTTATGACAATCCTCCTGTCTCAGCCTCCCAGAGTGCTGGGATTACAGGCATGCGCCACCAGGCCCGGCCCAGGTTTGGATGATACTTCAAGAAACACACAAAAAAAGAAGAAATGTATTTAGAAGTGATCTAGACTGAGGAGAAAGACAAAGGGAAAGAAAGAGAGGCTATTCTGGTCAGAAGAAATTTTTGAGAAGACAGACATTTATAAGTAGCCTGGTTGACTGTCCCATAGGTCTGCCAGTGTTATATTTGTGGTGGCAGATTTGCCTTTGCTTGCAAAAACTTGTCTTTCTAGGCCAGGGATATAGCTCAGTGGCACAAGTGCCTGCTTGGCAAGCACAAGGTCCTGAGTTCAATTCCCAGCACCCCTGCCCTCAAAAATCCTTCTCTTTCTAGAAATATAATACAGTGAATGCATACCTTCCAGAAGTTCAGTTTGCTGGTGAATCAGAATCTGATCTATCTATTACAAGAAAAAGAAAATTTGTTCATATCACTAATTATTAATGTTTAACATTACCAATTTTAGGTTTCTATTAGGCTTTCATGTTAATAGCTAAAGCATCCTTTGAAATTTTTCACTTAACGTGAGAAACTTCAGGTCAAACAAAACTGATTCACGATGGAATTCCTAAAGCAATTTTCTTTCTAAAAGAGGCTTGAAAAGAAAAAAAAAAAAAAAAAAAAAGAAATGATCATTGTTTTATTCATTTAAAAAGCTTTTTTTTCATACAACTTTTAAATTGTAAGTGTACTTGATATAATCAGTTATGATAGGTGGTAATTTCCTGTATACATTTTATCAATTCCTACTTTCAAAAATGGGTATTTAAGAGTACTTTTTTCTCCAGAGTACTTTTTCAACAATATGGTTATGACTAAATATCTTACATCCTGGTTGAGTGCACTGTGGAAAATAAAGTTAGTAGGATATGCTGGAGATGCACTTCATTTACTTAATACTGATTTGATATCATAACATTTGTCAATATGTTCATAGGCTGGAGACATAGAGCTTTTTCTCCTTTTTTATATACCTGATGTCTTACACCAAATAAATGTTAAACTACATATACCAAACTTCACTATCCTACTGGTATAACAAAATACTGGCCATTTCCTCCCTTGCTGTGTTTTATAAATTATTGGCATTTATAAAATTGAATCTTCCAAAGAGGAAAATGAGCATCATAAATATGTAGTTGTAAAAAAATGAGTCATATTATACACAAAATACTAACTTTTTGTTTCATATCTCTTGATGGAGACCACTGCAAAGCAGCCCTGAGCAGGACTTAAATTAACCAATGGGCTTTCCATGTGTACTTGTGAGTCTGTGCAAGGCCTAGGACCCTTGTCTGAAGATGGGCATTGGACTCATAGTGAGTGAACCTCTGTGAGTCACTGATCCCTACTGAGGCCTGTAATGACAGGTAAAGCCATGAAGCCTCAAAGGATAAAACAAGGTCACAGCCAAGGACATGTGGATCCAATATCAACTAGATAAAGACCATAGCCTTCGGCATCTCACTTCTGGGTGGATTAACTTCATACCTTACTTGGAGAAGTCCTTGAGTGGTTCTGCTCTTCTTGAGCACTCCCCTCCCTTCTTCTGATAATTAAAGAAATCTGGGCCACCCAGAGAAGGTCTTGGTCTTAGCCCCCAGAATCTTGAATTCTGTGAGAGGGCTTTGATCCTCCTGGAGCCCTGAAATCACTCCATTCTCTTTTATATAGCCTTCACCATATACTTACTTGGCAGATTGCAGACCCGATCAATCCACAACAACCAAGGGATGTTATTAATCCAATAACCATATATATATGGTTTGAGACAGGGTCTTACCATGTAGTTCAGACAAGTCTTGAATTCACCATGTAGCCCAGGCTGCCCTCAAACTTGAAGCAATACTCCTGCCTCAGCCTCCCAAATGCTGGGATTACAAGCATGGACCACCATGCCCAGGTTCATACCACTTATTGAAACTAAGCACTAAACTTTATTTAAAATTTCTTTCAGGCCAGGGAGACAGCTCAGTGGCACAGCAGCTGCCTGGCAAGCACAAGGTCCTGAGTTCAACTCCCAGTATCAAAAAAAAGCAAAATTTCTTTCAAGGAAAGTATTCAGTTTGGGGTTGAAATAGTACTGGGTTCAGAACCAAAGTCCAGATTAAAACACTGCCATAGCTTTCTGACCTTGAGCAAACTTGTTTAGTTCCTCTTCTGAAAAATGGTGATTACTGTAGCACCTATATATCAGATTTTTCTGTAAGGATTAAGCAAGATAATACATAGATTATGCTCAGGACAAAGATTATTTAGTGACTATTTGCTAATGACTATTATCAAAGGTTGAATTCAAGATTATAGAAAACACAGTTACCTCATTTATTTGTATTTTGCTTAAAAAGTGAAACTGACCTAGAAGAATCGAAGTAATCTGTTAGCAGATAATATTTTATTATTTCAGGCTTTGGCAAGTTATTCCCTTCATTACTCTGATTAAGTGAACTGGTAGCACAGTTGTGCCTTTTTTGAATATTTTATGCATTTGTAATTACCTGACTTAAATATTCCAGTCCAGGTGGGCAGGACAGTGGAGGTGATGGTGCTGGTGCCCACAATACCCCTATGGGTCCACCTGGCTGATGATTATGTTCTGGTTGATTCTGTATAGGAAATCCGGCTTGGACAGCCCCTGGATATTTGGGTGATGGGACTGAGCAGTCAGTTGGGGAAACTGGATATGTATCCTTGGGTATGCGATGGGGAGGACGTCCTGATCCTAAAATAAGAACCAGTGAAATGATGTATACAAATGGAATGAACACATTTTTAATTACCCTAGGTACTACAAACTGGCCACCTAGAATACCTGTATCTGTGAAGTTTAAGGTGTTTTTTACCTTTTAAGATTTTTCAATGCACTATTTGTGGTTCCATAACCACTTCTATTTTGACTGGTACCCGTGAATAGAGGTAGCATATAGCCAGTCCTTCAAAAACTCAGAAGAAAAAGTGCGCTCCTTACCTGAGAAAGGGTAAGAAAGCCAGCTATGACCTGAAGTCAGTAATATAAACATTTAGACATGCCTTCAGAGAAAAGAGAGATAGTATCAGGTAGAATATCCAAAATAAAAGCTCTAACCAGTATTTCAAGGATCCCCACTCCTGGTGATAATTTTAGAAGTCTAGCAAATGATAGCTCCTGCATGTGTAAACCTGGAAGTGGTTTTCTTCTTTCTCCCCAAGGGATTTTTGAGATTTGAGATGTTTTTGTTTATCAGAACTGCAGAGGAGGGCAGTTCTATCATTTGGTGAGCAGAAGTCAGTGATGTTGCTAAACATCTTAAAATGCCTAAAACAGTTCCCTGAAAAGAAAAATTTTCCATCTGAAAATATTACAGTATCACTGCTGAGAAGGCTGGGTGTAGAAATAAGGGAATGTCAACTATTCCAGCACAAATTACATATCTGGGTCAACAGTTTGCCTGGAGTGGTTCCCCTCCACCAGTATTAAAGATGGAACCCAAGTTCTCCCTACCACTGAGCTATAGCCTCAGCAATGTTTACTTTTCATTGTAAAGCAAAATCTCATTAAGTTGCCCACTTTGGCCTTGAATTTGCTATTCTCTTGCCTCTGCCTCCTAAATAGCTAAGATTACAGGTATACGCCACTGCACCTAGCTTGCCTAAAGTTCTAATCCATGGAATATTCCTTTCCTATGTCTGTATCCATGAAAACATATGCAATATTTGGGTTAGAAATTTAAATTTCATAATTTAACAGCCCATGGTCTCTGAAAAATACAGTTTGAAAAGTAAGGGTGGCAAAAGTTCTAAGAAGCAAAATTCCTTTAAAAACTTGATTAGAGCAGAGAAAAATATAACCCTGAATACTTTATAATCTCTGAATGTATGACTACAATGAAGTATCATAAACTTATCTGTACTATATTAATTCTATATGAATGGAATATATTCTAAGAAATGTGTTCTATAATATTTCAACATTAAAAACTACATAGCAGGATGTAGTGGGACATGCCTATAACCCCAGCACTAGGGAACCTGAAGGCAAGAGATTGCCATGAGTATGAGGCCAGTCTGGGCTACACGTTGAGTTCAAGGCCAGCCTGAACTCCATACTAAGAACCTGTCTCAAAAAACAAAGATGAATAAACAAAAATGCATAGAAAAACCTAAACAAATGACATAGAATAGGCAATATATAAGTATTTTCACATGAAAACATTTCTGAAAAAATTCACATCCCATTAAAAAATAGGTCTCATAACAGACCAAACTTTGTAACAATGCTTTTAATATACTTTTATAATTTATTCCTTCAACAGCTAATAAATAGTTATAGGTAATAACATGTCACTGGCTGTGTTGTAGAACTACACCAGACACTTATCAGAGAAGGAACATGCTCCTGTTGAGCTTATGGTCAACTTCTGGGAGACAAAAAGAAAAAGATTTCATATTAGTGTGACAGAAAAAATACATGGCAATATCAAGATTCAAGGCAGTTACTTTAGATACATATAACTTTTTTTTGTCTTTTTGAGACAAGTTCTCGCTATTCAGTTCAGGCTGACTTTGAGCTCACTTTGTAGCCTGCGCTAGCCTCAAACTTGCAACGATCCTCCAGCCTCAGCCTCCCGAGGGCTGGGATTACAGGTATGTGCCACCAAGCCCGGCTTAGATACATATAATTTACTTGGAGATCAAAAAATGACAAAGGAAAGCTTTACATAAAGATATGGTGAGAAAAGCTCTAGGCAGAAAGAAGAACAAATGAAAAAACCTATGCTTTGGGAATAAACTGCATATTTGGAAACAAGGAAATCATGAGAAAATAAGAATGGCTGTCACCGAAGGAACGGGACATAGTTCCTCTCTGGAGGGTCTTGGAGAGGTGTTTGTTTTACATTCCAAGTGGCAGGTGTTGGAGGATTCTGAGTAGAAGGGTGAGTTCCATGATGTCACCTGTACCTCACAAAGGTTTTAGAATTTCTGAGCACCGGGACACACATGAACTATGTACACCCTTTGTATGTTAAATATACTTTAAATGATCCCTAAATTTCTTGTAATACCTAACTTAAATAGCTGTCACAATACATTGTTTAGGGAATAGTGCCAAGTCAAATGTCTGCACATGTTCAGAAAGGTGCATTTTAATTTTTAAATATCTTTCTGCTGTGGTTGGTTATGAGAAAACTTGCAGAGCTGACAATGGTTACTTCCTAAATACATTGTGAGATTAAGTGTGTAAACCCACATGATCTTCACATTTAAAACAATGCCTAGAGTGCAGTGAACTCTTGATTTTAAGCTGACTTTATTATTAACATCATTATCATCTCAGGGTGAGTACTATAGATCGCCCTGGTTTGGGGAACCAAAACAAAGCTATTTTTTCTAATAAACCCTCAAGTTTAATTACTCCTCAAGTTAGTTTTGTAGGCCTAGTTTTAGGTAGCTGTGGGATGGATTATTCTCTAAGTTCTCTGGGTAAATATTAAGGCTTGCTCTTAGTTATCTCGCTGAAAACAAATTCTGTAAGAATTTACAACAGAGATCCTCACCCTTGGCTTCACATTAGCATCACTTAGGATACTAAAAACTGAAGTCCTTGAGTTCAGAGGTCTGATTTAATTTTTCTGGGATGGTGCTCTGGTCTGAGCATTTTTAAGGGTTTCTGCAGGACACTTAAGGTAGCCATGACTGAAAATTACCACCTTAGAACCTTGTTGCCGACCTGGATAAGTTCTAGAATTCACTGGAACATTTTAAAGACAGTTAAATAGGCTGCTCAGCCCCCAAGCAAATTGGTGTGCTCAGAGAAGAAACCAAAACGGATACACACTTTTATCTATACCTGATCGTCTTTGATCCTAAGCCCCTTTGATATTCTTTCAATATATGGTTATCGTGCATACTTGTAAACGTGGGTATACCAAAACGTTTGCCATCTCCAAGGGTCTAATTATATTGAGAACTGCATTATGTTTAAGGAAAATTTCTGAATTCTTTTAAGCATCCGTTAAAACAAAAACACGTTCCCTACTACAGAATAGAATGATTCATACTTTTCTTAATGAATGCAAAGCATGATTCAGCGTGTATACAAAAATAAGCTTTCACGTGTTACAAAACGTAAATGAGAATTAGTCCAAGGTAGCCTCATTTCTATTGATTGCAACTTCCATTTTTAAGCAATTTTATCATTTTTTTCTTTTGTTCTCATCAAACACGATCTCAAACATTGCCTAACTCAAAAACAGCTATGGACACATGTCCTGTCCTGTCATATATGATCAGAATTTTCAGAACAGAGGAATGAAATGATAAGTACAATATTTCTCATTATCTAAGGTTTGAGGTTTAACTATATGCAGTTTGTATTTCAGTTGCTAATGTACACTCTATTGATTCTATTAGTTCTGCTTTCTACTTTTTATTGTCTTCTGCATTAAAAATATATTAATCCTGTAGAATATACATAGTACAAAACAAAATGAGCAATAGCTAAGCTCCCAAATTTTACTAAGTACAGGTTTAATACTAACTACTAAATGGAGAAACACATTCTTTTCCCCTCTTCTCTTGCTCTATCTTGGGGGTATCAATTAATTACTATTACTTTTCTTTTTCAGTCACATATTTTACCTTGTAATGTTGCTGGTGGATTCTGACTGGTACGCCCAGGTGGCAAATTTGTTCCTGGACGAGGAATATCCATTTGGATGTCTGCAATTCAAGGAGAAATAAATACATGTCCACTTAAATAAAATTATATTAGAAAGGAAAACACATTGTTAGACAATTTTCACTTGTATGGTCTTAAACAGTATTGAAATAAGCAAAATAAATTCACTTCACATTGGTTGTACCTATTATCAGAGCTAATCTGTAGTAAAACCCTGTTTCTAACCATTTTCCTTTTTAATAAAATGAGACAGCTAAGTGACTGGGGCTACATTTCTAGTTCTTCAAATATGTTTATGAATGTTTAGTCCCCTCCTTTTATTTTGTGCTATTAGAAAAAAGAGCTTTAGAAGCAGTATAGACTATGAACAAAGCAATGAATAAAAGTAGCTGGATGTTGTGATGCTAATGGTAGGATTATGGATGGTTTTAAACATACCTATAACCCCTGCTGGGGGAATCATTTTTAAAATATTTAAAACAGGGCTGGGGATGTAGCTCAGTAGTAGAGTTCTGGCCTTGCATGCACAAGGCCCTGGGTTTGATCCCCAGCACCACAAAAACAAACAAATAAAATATTTAAAATAATGCCTGTATTTATCTTTTTTGTGCTCACTCTGGACCTACACTAATCATGTTGAAGAATACGAAATTTCTAACGTACAATTCATTCTGAGCTAAAAAACCATAATATTTAATTACACTAAGCTACCATATTAAACTTTGTTATCTACTAATAATTAGGACAATGGTTCACTTTCTTAGTTCTTTATACTCATATGTCTCTAGTGATACATTTATCTACCTGAATCATTTTTTTTTTTTTTTTTTGTCTTTTTGAGACAGGGTCTCACTATGTAGTTCAGGCTGGCCTTGAACTCACAAGGATCCTCTTGCCTCAGCCTCCTGAGTGCTGCTGAGATTACAGGAGTGTGCCACCACGCCTGGCTTGAATCATCTCTTATGTCATGGGGCTATAGTGGTTCTGCCTTCACAGAAGATACACTTATACTTTCTCCTCTATTTTCTTATAATTTAATATTTATAAGTACAAAATCAATTGCTTCCTAATCATGGTGATGGCTCATCACATGAATATGAAAAAATTTATTCAAACTTTGAGTCTAATGTTTTGTGTAAGTGTTGCTGGTATAAACTTTCAAGTAAGCCTCAGTTTAATCATGTGAGTTTATCAAGAAGGCTACACTGCATGCCCTCATTTCAACCATTGCATAGTAACTCCCTCAGAATGCAGGCCATACAAATTGAGGAAATTCAAGTAGCAAAGAAACTCTACTTCAATGTGGCCTGTTCCTTGCACAGAAAGTACACATCCACCAAATTATGGCAAATCTAAAATACCATAGGTCAGGCCATCTAAATCATTCTCTGCTGTTTCTCACCTGCAGGTGAACATTTCTCTGCCTGTCAAGATCCTGTTGTGGCCTACATCACAAATCTGATCTCAAAACAACAGGATCAGATTCAGATCAGATTTCAAGCACACATAGTCCAAATCTGATTTAAAACTCTCCCCTTGACTGGCATGTCACATGCTGGCACCTCCTAACAGCCACTATTATTTCACTAATGTAAAACACATACACATTTTTCAGGAGCGTAAGAATTCAAAAAATCAACTGCTCATAATACCTAGTTTGTGTACCAGAGCAATGACCCCAGATTCAGGAAGTCCAGGATGAATTCATGCAAAGAAAAAATAAGTTGAGCAGGTAGATGGATGTTCAAATGGATGAGCGAGTACATGAATTACAGGTCAATTTCTACACATTGAAGTGCAAACTAAAAAGCATATGGCTGTCACACTACATTTAAGATATATTATTTTTAGTTCTTTATATATGTATAGTATACATCCCAAGCATATTTATATATAAACACATTATTCCTACTTATGCACAATATACATATACAAGCATACAATTTTACATACAAAACTGAAGAGCTAAAAGATGACTATGATCATGGTAAATGGACCTTCCTTTGTTTTCTAGGTATTTTTTGTTAGTACATGTGTGCAGTACGTTACGATTACATTCATTGTGGGGCGTCAGTCCATGGACATCCCATTTAAAATGCTTTTTACTTCTCTTTCTTTTTTCCTCTCACCCTCCTCCCTCAGCTCTAGCTCCCTTTCCCATATCTGTTGCTTATTATCCTTTATTTTTCTAACTCAAGTTAAATCATATTAAAAATTTCCATCACATCAAACAGCTTAATTACGTATAAATTCACATTTTAAAAGCTTTGAGTTTTAAAAATAAAACTCAGTCCACACCGCTACTCACAGATGACCCCAAAACTTCTTGTCCAAGGGACAGGAGAACAAGGAGTAAAAAGGGAAAAATGATTAACACGTATGTACAGATTTGTAAAAGTGTTATTTGTTCACACATGCTCTTTTTCTTCCTGTTTGTTACATTATTTTGAGTCTTAGAATAGAGTGAGAATAAACACCTCTCGACATAACTAGTGTAGAATGAAATCTGGATACTCACTGCACAATAGTTTATATGCAACAATTACATAATATATCAAGGATTAATATTGGTATTTCCTAATCTCTGGTGCAAAAAATTAAGTGGTCCTTAATCATGTCACATGTGCTAATTTAAATGAAGCACTGTGTCTGACGGATAAAGTCATCTAGCTTATGGATGATGTCTGCTTGTCTTCTGTGTTGTCATAAGACCCTTTGGCTTTCTTAACCTTTGTGGATCGATTCCAAGATACTCTACAAGAAGTGACTGAAAACTGGTAAAATTAAAGAAAAAACTTATTGCAGCAAAATACACATTGCCAAGAACTGTCAGATAAACTTGTACAAGGTGAGAGGGAATATTCTGAGTATTCTAGGGGGATTAACGGTACTTTGTGACCACTTCTTCTTGATCTACAGTTTTGGGCAACTTCTGTCAAATGAAAACATTAAGGATGTGTTTGTCCACCACTCTCCCTGGATCTGGCAGAGTGTGACTTTTGGCTCTTCCCCAAAGTCGAAATGCCCATGAAATGTAAACATTTTAAACAGATTCGGGACAACCAGCCAGCCATGGCGTCACAACTAAAGACAAGAAAGAGGACTTCCTGAACTGCTTCAGAGTGGCAAGTATGATGGGATGAGTGTGTTTGAAGCAAGGGGGAATAATTTGAGGGGAATTAATAGCAATGTATTTTTTTACTATAATAACTCTTTTAAGTTTTAAACTTTCATTGTATTTTTCCATCATAGCTTATATACTGTATAACTCAATTTTGGGAATAATTAGCTATGTCACCAGTTAACTTAATTAGTTCATATGTTTAACATAAATAGTGGCTCCTATAATTCCTATCAAAAAGAAAGTTCCAGAAAGACATTAGGAAAAGAGGAAATCATAGTTATGATGTACCCAACAGGCAAAAAGTCTAATAAGTTAGTCATACTATAGGTAGTTATCATTGGAATGATAACTAATCCAGAACAAATACAAATCTGCAGAATATCTGATTCCTACACTCTCTTTCCTAAAATGAAAACTTTGGGGGTGGGGGTTTGAGGTGCCTGTCATATACTATAAAAGCACATTTCTACTAATGTCATTCCATCAAAAACTATAAGTTCCTGCCAATGAACCACTGATACCCCAAACTAACAAGTAAACCAAAGAGACAAAGGGAAAAAAGCCAATCTTTAAAGTGAGTTATTTTCATTGGACTGATGTACTATTTTTGCAAGGTCTTTCTAAACAACCCCGAGCTCCTTGGCAAATCTGAACCTCTTCCTTAAAACAAGGAAACTAAGCCCACAGACAAAAAAAGCTATTTAACATTCCACAGCTCACTAACTGGCTGAATTCAGATGACCAGTGACTGGGTCCTTTATACCCATTTCCTTATTTCATTGAAATTTTAAAAAAAGGACTGACAACTTTCAGCGTAATTTGGTAGAGATTATCTTTCAGGTATCTTATATGAAACAGAAAAGCCTTGAATTTCAATTTACTCTTAAAGCCATATGCTTTCCCGAGGCTCGGTAAGTTTTTAATAAGCGTTTAGTCAGATAAAACTTGGAAAAAGAAAAAAATAAAGTGCCGGTTTTAAAATCAAGAACTACTCAGTGTAGCGCTAGAGAATATATGTGTGTGCGCACACATGTACAGATATAGAGACATTTCCTACATAGATATTCATTTCTTATGATACTTTTGTAGCTGTCAAGGAACACTAATTTCAAGGAGAATTTATTGCATGTATACAGCACGTAGAGGTCTATATGACAATGAAGACATCTAAATATATTGTTTAAAATGTTCAAGTAGGGGCTGGGGATTTAGCTCAGCGGCAAAAGCGCCTGCCTGGCAAGCGCAAGGTCGTGAGTTCGGTTCCTGGTACCAGAGAAAAACCAAAAAAAATAAATAAATAAATAAATAAAATGTTCAAGTATTATGATTAAAAGCAACAATGCTATAAGAACAGGTTTTGTGGATACTGGTTTAGAGGGCAGTAGCATTCTCGGGAAAGTTGGATCTGAATTGAAAACCGCGAGGTCAGCCACACAGAGGCCTTGGCCTATGTTCTGAACTGCGAAGCAGCTGTGAACAAGAGACCCTCTCAGGCAGATGCAGTGAGGCTGTAAAGACCTTGGCTTGCTCAAGGTAATGAAAGGCCTGTACAGAGCACAGGAGGGAGAGACCTGAGGATGGAGAGGGGTCATTTCACACACCTTTAACATCCATCCAACCACCTCCTTCAGAAATCCAATGGAGCCTTTCTATCATTTTTCACAGGCCCAGAAGTGCTAGAAAAGCCAGAGCGGTATGAAATGAAAGTTCAGCTGTTAGAAAAGTTCACGAAAGACAAACAGCGCGATCCGCCTAACACTTCTCATTGAGAAACTATCACTCTTACTAACCATAGATCTCCGTTGCTTAAATGAAAGAAAGAAATGACTGCTTGTCATTGGCCGTGGAAGTGGCCATGCTCAAACTACCAGGAATAACTACATAAGTACAACCCATGAGACCCAGAGAGTGAGCTCGGAGTAGCAATGACGTGAAAAATATTTGAAATAACAAACGCTAACTTATTTTGTTTTGAAAATATAATAGTGTTTAATTTTATTAAAGTTCTAATACTGAGTTCGGAGCACTGTCCCCAAGCTCCATGAATCCTTACAAGTCCCTAGGAGTAATATTAATATTAAATTCCCCCTCATTCCTGGGGAGCAGGGGGTTGGTAAATAACCAATTTCCAAATGAGATTTGGAAGGGCTTGTTCCTGAAAACTAAGTTCTCCTGTCTTCTGTCCTATTGGTGTAGAATCTCAGACCCAAACTCTCCTCTCTCTGTACTTCCTCAAAGAGAAAGATCAGAGGTGTCATTATCCCCTAAGCTCTTGAGATTCCAGCTGTGGAGAAATTAACCTAGTTGGGGATTCAGGTTGAGCGGCCCTTAGAAAGATGTGGACAGGGAGAGGGAAATACAAAAGAAAAAAAAACCTACTAAAAGGCACTTAAGACACAAGATTGTGCCAGATATGTGTAGATTTTTAAAGTGGTAAAGCTTTTTCTTGGTACCAGGAATTGAACTCAGGACCTTGTGCTTGCCAGGCAGGTGCTTGTGCTGCTGAGCTATATCCCTGGCCCCTAGATTGTTAAAGTGAAATTTGCGGACAAGAAGGTCCAAGGGACAGGAGAGAGAAGAGTGGAATGGGAAAATGATTAACGTATATGTACCAATTCCCCAGGATGAATGTACTTATTCTACCATATCAAAAACATACACTAATTCGAGACTAGTTTTTTAAAAAATGAATGTCCATGGATTCCTTCAAATGACTTTTTTTTCAGGGCTGAAGAGGAACCTAGGGCTTTTTACAGGTTAGGAAATCAACCACTTTACTGCTAATTTACATTCCCAGCCCAAATAACCTCTTTTCCTGATAAAAGTAAGAAAATCAGTGTAGGAGAAGCTTATGGTGCACTAGAAGCAGTATAGTACTATTGAGGGCTTTTTTTTTTCCCAGTATAGGGAGAAATAAGCCCACCTAGCCAGACTCTTGCAGGAGGATGGAACCCTGTGAATAGCAAAGGAAATACACCCAAGAGTATTCCTATCCGGTCCTAGAGAAGACCACCTCCAGACAACTGGAGGCGAATGGAGAATCTGGAAAGCCACTCGATAAGTAGAATAGTGTCCACAAAGGGTCAGAAAGCAGAAAAATACCTGGGCATGAGGTAAGCCAAGAGAGACAGCTCTAATTTACAGAAGATAAAGTGGAGGGATGACAGAAGATAAAGTGGAGGGATGACAGACTGCGGGCACCCCTGTAGCGGAGGGACCTTGGGCCGTTCAGGAGGTGTAACTACTGGAATTGTGCTCAGAAAAAAAAAAAAACAACAGGGAAAGTGCGGTAGTGAACAAAGACAAGATTCACCATAGGAAAGAAGAGTAAATGAGTAACAGAACTGGGAGAGGAGCTAAAGGGAATGCTTTAGAACTCTAAAGTGGAAAGGAAATTGAAGATTGAAAACATCTTGAATGGCAGAAAAGCTGCGAAGTGTCAGAACATATGCTCAAGGACAACAAACCACTCACCCGCCACAATAAGAGGACTCGGGAAAAGGCTCTGCCACCAAACTGAAGAACCATCAGCAAGGTGGGCGCGTTTAGTACATTTAATGGGAGCAGGAAAAAAAAAATAGCCTCACGGATAGTAAACTGAATCTTCCCGCAGGATGTGTAAGGTACTTTGGGGAAGTCATGAAAAGGTGCAACCTCAAGGATGGAGCAACTGTAAACACACACACACAGAGATTTAGTAGGCATGGTGGCCTATTCCTGTAAACCTAACCTTTGGAAGGCTGAGACAGGAGGATCGTGATTTCCAAGCAAGCCTGGGCTACAGAGCAAGACCCTGTCACAAAATAAAACAGAACAGGTAGTGATTTCCTTCACTTGTGAAAAGGAAATGCGTGTCCATAGTGTAAAGATTTAGACTTCATTTTTAGTAGATCCCAGATGTGAAGGCTGAAAAAAAGAAAGTGCTTTCATATTTATGTAATTCTGGAAACACAACGTCGGCTTTGCAGCCTGGAAATTGTGGGGCTGTAACTTCGGCTACTGGACCTCAGATCAGAGAGACCTGGTAAGGAGAGAACCCCCAAACGGGAAAGGAAGTGTTCAGGTTGGAGATTCGAGTGTGTGCTCCCAGTGTGGGGGAGCCAGGGAAGGGGAAGGAACTTAGAAATTGAGAGAAAAATCTCAGCGTTGGAGCTTCCTAAGAAGCGGGTGCTCCGCCCAGATTTTCAAAACTAGAGAGACCACGCTCGCACAGGGGCAGTCCTGGAAAAGGCACGTGCTCCCCAGAATAGGATAAGAGGTAATAAAAACTGAAAGCGCCTTACCAAAACACAAGGCAACCACAGCTTGGGCGGGTGCTGGGGGTCTCGGGGACCACAAGCCAGGGTCTGACCCTGCCCCTTGACCTTTCCACCGCAATACCCGCTGCTCTGCCCTGACCTCAACTCCCCCTCCCACTTGGGGGCGGCGCTGATTGGCCGCAGCCGCCGTCACTCTCCCGGGCCGTCTCAGCGATTGGGTGCGGTTCTAATGCCCGGAGGGTTCTCAGCTGCGGTCCCCTGGGACTGGGCTAACCAGGCAGGGCAGGCGGGGAACCCGAGCCGAGAGGGCGCCTAGCTGCAGCTGCGCAGTTCCCGGCCCAACCGACTAAAGCTAACTTTCAAGTCCTTTCTGCAGTGCTGGGTACTGCTGTGAGAAATTACATTAATGCACGTAATACTCCGCTTTAACTCTTACAATTCTCGGCATAGTTACATAACTAAAGAGAAGCAGCAAACTTATTAGAAAAACCTCGGGCAGGCACACAATATTAGAAAACGTGACAGGTGGGGCTCTGCAGACGCACTTAGAACTAGATTTCTAGGTGATGCTTGTACAGGCTGCAGTTTGAGGACCACTGTTTTACCACACCGAATCAGATCCTGAATTTGAGGCAGGCAGCCCCTAGGTTTGAACCATCCCTATAGTTTCTAAATAAAGACAGTACATTTCTTCACAGACCATAGGCAGTGAAAGTCAGGGTCTAAGGACGTGAGCGAGTGGAGGCAGGATGCAAACCCCGCAACCCTGCTCTGGAACCAAGGGTCTCCGACACCGCGCCTTCTCGCCCCGGCCTTTCCCCTACCCCTGGCATTCTGGGACTCACTGCGCTGGTATTCTGGAGTCCCGAGCATAGCTTGGGCTACAACGAGAATTCCAATCAATACTATTCAACGAAAGCAGGCTTTACTAGCCATTCCTTCTAACACCCTACTACGCTTAAAATGTGGGGAGTCCAGCTCCTGCCCGGGTTCAAGGCTGCCCTGCACGAGCTGTGATGCAGGGAAGCAGAGCCCTGGGGGTCGCTCCGGGGCGGGGCAGGTGTTCAGCTAGAAGAGCTAGGAAGCCTTGCTGAGCCCGTGCGCCTCTTCCTGCCCCTTCCCTAAAGCTCTTGAAGCCCTGTCCCCAACCTCCACCGCACAACTTCCATCCCCAAAGCAAAGAAAATCTGTAGGTCTTTGTGCACAGCCTCCTCCGAGGCCCAGGCAGGTTGCCCTGGGATTTGGGGGTTGCAGCCTCGCAGAAGACACCGCAACTTGCTCACCTGCAGCTGCCCGGGTTCTGGTGCAGGAATCTGCTACACCTGCGGGGGAGTCTCTGCTCCCGGGAGGCCCTGGGGAAGGCACAGAGATTTGCACCTTCCCTGAAGTTAGCGCAGAAGGAGCCTGGGAGTGAATGGCACCCAAAAAACTCCAGCTGCTTAAGTTTTCGTTTCCTACAGTTCAGTTAGACACAATTTCCTTTGCCGCCCTCCCACTCTCCCACGCCTATGCTGGGAGGAGCTGCTGCCCCTGTCCGCCTTCCTGTTCCTTCGAGGGGCCTCAGAAACGTGCCCTAGAGGAGATGGATTGAGATGTGTGTCTCCACCTGGAGCTGGGAAGTCATAAACTAGGGAGTGACCTTTTCTGGGAACTCGGTTAACTCTGGCCTTGGGTTGCTGTAAGTTAGATTACAAGTGACTAGGCACTGTGATTTTTTTTTTTTGTTTTTGGTGCCTTTCATTTCTTGCTCTCTTGCTTTTTTAACCACATGATGTTTTAAATGTGTTTCAGAAGTCTAGTTGTTGTAGGTAGCTGAGTTAGATAGAAATATTATAGGTAGTCAGGCAGGGCCAGGCCCTTCAAGCCTGGGACAAAAGATTCCTTGCAAATGGAGGAAGAAGTACTTCTGTGTCCGGCCAGATTTCAAGACAAAAGATTAAACAAATGCACTCACAGATCTCTATAGGGATGCACATCAGGGATTGATATTCTAAATAGGTAGCGATCACCTTGAGTCACTGATCCAACCCCTTACAGCACAGTGAGCTGGCTGAAACCCATTGTGTATAAACCTTGTTGGTTTTACACCAAATGTGTCAGTTCTGGGGGGGCAAAGAGAGAGCCATTTCCCGCGTCCTGTAGTGAATCCAGCTGCAAGGCTGCCAGGCACAGATGTTGCACACACTTTCTGGTGGTAGGCTGAAAATTGTCCTCAGAGTGCCCTCCGGCTTCTGATTTCCTTCCCTAGATCCTCACTGTGAAGTGGTTACCCTTCTCTGCTCCTTGCTGGTACCTGGGGTCTTGCATATCTACGGCAGGAAGGCCAAACTGGAGAGGGTAAGCCCTCCATGGCCTTCCCACTCACCCAACCCGCCACCCTCTTTCTTGTTCCTTGGAGAGGCTGCAGAAACATTTGCCTGGCATTGGTGAATTAGGATGTGGGCACCCCTGGATAAGTTGCTAGTTGGGGAGGGACCTGCTCAGGGTGGGGTTGTCTACAAGATGCTCCTTATACCCTACCCTCCATCCCTAGAGTCCTGTGACTTTTCATAGAGGAGAAATGGAAGATTGATTAACATGCCTTTTATTTTCTTTCAGATTTCTTAAGTAGCTGCTCTATTTCCTGTTTAGGTCTCTTTTTGCGTTACATGGAAGAAAAGACAGAGTGTACCTGTTGTGTTGTATTTTACCTAGACATGGGCACTTTGGTTCCTTTTAAAAATCTATTATATATATATATATATATATATAT